ACCCCCAATTTAGGGTGTATTTCAGAATGATCCAACAGTTCATCGATAAAAACCTGTTGTCACCCCTACCACAAAATGAGTATTGGTTTTAAGATTTAGAATATACAGGGGCCACAGTGAGGTCAGGAAATAAGTCAATTTCCGTCATTGCTCATTTTTATGCAATTTTTCATCAATTTTACAGTACACATTCTTTAGGAAAACATAGAGCACACGCTTGCCTATCTACCAAATTTATATATTTTATACACTTATATTAGATGCAGTTTATGTGTAAAAATCTCAGATAGGCAAGCTTTGTTTTCCGAAGAGAAATGTATCCCAAATATGAGGAAATACAACCAGAATTGAGGAAATTCTGGAAAATGCCCTATTTTTGCGCCCTCTAGTGGCTTCCATGTAAGCTTGGAATCAAAATTAGTGCTTGTATTAAAGTGAGGATCATTTCACTTCTGAACTACAAACAATCACAATTCTACCAGTGTTCTGATTTTTACATCAAAGAGGGGGCCAGATTCGGCTGTTACCCTGTCTTGTCCTTTGATCAGAAATTTGATCAGAAATTCAGAGATCGTCAAAAATATGAAGCGCGGTAAAGAAATCTGACAACGAAGACAATATGGATTTTTACGCCAAAGGGGAACAGTGAGCTTACCTTAAATTTTGTCTAGCGCTATTTAGAACTCTTTTAGACTAACCAACTTGCTTACAGGTGCATGGACACAGATTTGGTGTTAATATCTTCAGATCTGAATATTAAAATTACGACTTACAGTACCGACCAGACCCAACCTGACACAAAGCATTCCCTGTCCTGCAGCAATACTGCTAAAGCAGTCCCACAGCGGTCCCAGAGCAGTCCCACGGCAGTCCCACAGCGGTCCCACAGCAGTCCCAGGGCGGTCCCAGCAGCCCCAGCGGTCCCAGAGAGCAGTCCCAGCAGTCCCAGAAAGCAGTCCCAGCAGTCCCAGTGGGCGGGGTTTATAAATTTAATGGGCGGAGCTAACTCAGAAATGAGATTTCCAATAAACAATGGAACTATAAAAGGCAGTAGAAATTGATTCTGGGTATTATGCCAGGAATCCTTACATGTACGCGAAGGTCATTTATGAACAGAACATGTACGCGCATAAAAATTGAAATAATTATTAATAATATTTATTGGAGGAAGAAGGCTTTCACATATACATGTACATATATGAATTACACTGAATATGAATATTTAATCACAATTCTTGGGTATATTAATAATTCTTCTGTGATTGATACTGGTTCCCATATTTATTTTTTATACAGAAAATTAAACGTGAATTAAATATTTTCCACCAGAAGAAGCTTTAAATAGATCTTATCATTATATGACCAATTTAGACTATCGGGATACTCTAAAGTTATAGTTTTCTTAAGTATTGGGGCTTGTAAAAATATTCTTTGTTAATTTTGCCAAGTATTATTTTTCAGTCATGATTATTTTTACTGACTTGTCAATTTAATTATTGCTAATGCCTAGTTCTATAAAACTCAGTTTTAAGTGTTTTATTTGTAAATGTTAGAGTGTACATCTGTAAATCACCAGAATGGAAGCTTCAGATTATGTTCAAAATTGATTAATCCCGAAAGAAATTTAAACACATTTCATTTATCACTTTTTTTTGCATTAAATAAATTGAAATTAGGGTCATTGTTTACCAGCATGTTCAATGGTGTGTAACACTGTTACAAATACCCAAATAACATGTATCGATTTTTCTGCCCAAAGGCGATTGAAACAATGGGTGTTGATACCATCTTATAAACATTAATCCGCCAGGTAAACACTAGCAAAACAAAAAAAGAAATAAATCACAATTCCCGCTATTTTCATTTTTTTTAAAATAAATATACATGTACTCTTTTAATAACTTGTTTATTAATTAAAAGAGCTACCAGTAATTCATTAATTCCCCTATGATTATTCACATAGTTTATGTTACGGGAGAATAGTACTGTAGCATAATTTTATTTCATGGTCATTTAATAAATTGTTGGGTTTTATTTGAGGGTTACATGGAATACAATGTACTCTTTTTTTAGTGTGGTCCTTATAAAACGTGTAGCGTTTTTAATAAAAAAAAAATCTTAAATGTACACATGTAACTGTGTTGATTATTATACCCCCCGCTTGAAAAGCGGGAGGGTATAGAGTAATCGGTATTTCCGTCCGTCTGTACGTCTGTCCGTCCGTCCGTCTGTCCGTAATTTTATTATTCCGTCCGTCCGTCTGTCCGTCCGTCCGTCTGTTACGCTTTGGGGTACCCATCTCTATCCGCAACTCCTCCCATACCACTGAAGGAAATTTAATGAAACTTTCACAGAATCTTTATTACATATTGCCATTGTGCACCTCCTATTTTACTTTTTGATCTGACATATATTTTGGATTTTTCAGAGCAAAACATGGACACTGCCATTATATTCATATGGGAGGCGGGGGGTATCATTTAGTGAGCTCATTGCTCACAGTACCTCTAGTTTTTAATTAGTAACAATGCAAATTTTGAGTACATATTAAAATTTAACATTAAATAATTAAAAAAGGCCCACATGTAGCTATTTTTTTCTCATAAACTTGTATTTTATTTTTAGGGATAAAATTTTTCTCATTAATTCCTTATTTATCAACTTTATTATTTTTTTTTATTTATTCTAAATACACATTAATTTGTGTAAATATACAGTCCCTGAAAATATCAATTAACTATAATAATTTCTACTTATTAAAAGAATATAAGAAATCCTTGCTTATTAAACAGTTTAAACTTTTCTCTGCTGCAAGTAAAAAAAAACAGGGAGCCTGCAAATTCAGAATACACGAGGGGACGGAGCTATCATGTCACTCAGAACCTTTTTCACACATGAGTGAACAAAGCAGTCCCAGAAAGCAGTCCCATTTAAAATAATTAAACTGCAAAATAATTGTCCCATAGCGGTCCCAGAGCAGTCCCACAGCATCCCAGAGCAGTCCCACAGCGGTCCCACAGCAGTCCCACAGCAGTCCCAGAGCTCACGGGTAAAATCATCCAAATTTAAGCAGTCCCGGGGACTGCTTTCTGGGACTGCTTTGGTGTCAGGTTGGGTCTGGTCGGTACTGTATATATTTTAGTAGCATTTCACACAAAAATATTTCCTGTCCTGCGTAAATAATACATTTAATTACCCTTGACCTGTAAAGTAAGCATATTACAATGACAATAATATTTATCTATAAAGCTAAAACAATGCTGTCATTGTCATACCAAGGAACTGTGTTTGGTAATAATAACTTTCATTATTTTTTAGCGTCATCAATAATTCTATGATTTACTTTACATTGTGGATTAAAAAATCAATAAAGTAACGGTTTTACCTTCTTGTGAAATAAACAGTAGTACTTAAAATAGCCAGGAAGCATATAACTATCCCTACAACAGATATCATCAAAATTATAATAAACCCCGAGGAAAAGAAAGATAGGTTGGGAGTTTTCTCTTGATCATGACTGACATCCAAATCTGTGAAAAAAAGAAAGTGGCAGAGTTTTATTACAAAACAAGACATTGAAAGCAATGTAAGAATGTTTTGTTTCATGGCCCTTATTGCCGAGTATAGGTCAAAATTTAAAGCCCTCCACCGGTAAATGGTTGCGTCTTCATATGAGTGAAAAATTCTCGAGATATACATATACATTAATATAGCAGCTACGAACAAACACACAAATTACGGAAAACGATTTACCTGGGGACATAAATGTATCATACTCATGATGTCTAAGTTTTTATAACTCACTATTAGCAAGCATATTTATAGTACTTTCACTACATTAATATTTGTTATAAAAAGAATTAAGTGAAAGTTCATGAAAGGATAAATATATTTTATGAATCATAATCAAAAAACTTCTCTCAGTAGTTGTTTCCACACAGCCATATTGCTTATCACAGGTGTCTGTACATATACAATTTTCCTCTCAAAATTGTCCATAAAAGCCTTTTGGACACTTCTGAAAGCAGATTACTCAATATGACCCCAGGGGACATACTTTGAAAACAATTTTAAACTATTTTAGAATATGTTCAGCCTTTCAAGTAGCTTAATATGAATTGAATACAAAGTAGATGTCTCTTCAATCATTGTTATTTCTAGTCTTGTTTCTGTTTTACAGAAAATAATTTCCATTTTCAAGAACATCAAGTAGATATACATTTCAGAATCTATAAAAAAAAATGTAGTAACTCAAGTCTATATGCTGTTTCACATTTGAATATTTTACTTGAAAAAGACTTTAATGGTAATCTAACAACCAAGCTCTATGAAGGATAAACGTGATAATTTTAACTTTTCTATCGTGCACGTTCCTTATTTATGAAGTAATAAACCTTCTTCACCTGCATACGGAGTTCTTATATCTCAGTTGATTCGATACGAAAGTGCATGCTTTACGTATGAACAATTTCTAAAACGAGGTAATTAATTATTGACAAACAAGAATATCTGCAGTCTCGTTTTGAGTCATCATTTCGTAAGTTCTATGGTCGATACAATGACCTTTTCAGCAAATACAATTTATCATTGAGTCAAATGATGACTGACGTTTTTCATACTATTTGATAGTCCATTATTTATACATCGAATTGACGACAATTTTTTCGTCATTTCCGGATTATGAAAAGGAGCACACGACAGGTGTGATCGGTCGGCAGGGGATGATCATTCCTCCATGGCACCTGATCCAAACTCTGGTGTTTTGGAGACACGTGTTTGTTTTCATCCTATTTTGTATTGTTTTATGGACTTTGATATTGAATAATGTTTGCTTTCTCCATATCCTTCTTTGGGATAAAAATAACCAAAATTTGATATCAAGTCTGCGTAGCATCCTTCCATTTTGAAGTACTCATAAGGAAGATAAGCATGAATCAATGTGAAAATGAAGTATTTGTTTCAAATTTTGTTTGTAGAAACTCATTGTACGCAGTTAATAGAAGAATCATGGTGAACATCTGGTATTGTTTTTAGAAGGTATTGTACTGATACAATCTCACATTACTTCATAATTATTGCTTAATAATAACTAAAAGAGGTTGTTTATCTTCAGAAATTCTGTCAATGTTTAATGAAGCAAAGATTTTTATGCTTCATTGAAAAAAAAATCTTTACTGTTCTGCTACTGTTTGAGACGTAATTTTACTGATGCAGAGATTTGGTACCGTTCTTAATGTAATATCAAAGAAGATATGACCCGTGGGTAAACTAATCGCAAGATTTAAAATATTTAAAAACTAAATAATTGTAAAATCTAGAGTAATGCATTGCGTATAAATTAATTTCTATAGTTATGCAATTGTGTAAGATTCACACAGGGAAAATCATCCAAATTGAACACAAAATTTAAATCATAATAAGGAAGATAATCTGTTCAAATGTTTTTGGCTATTTTTGAGAAAAAAAAAAGGTTTTAGATGTGAAAAAGATAAAAGAAAAATCTATGCAACAGATTGTCAATTTAAATTAGAACAAAATTCAAACCGTTGATTAGATGATGCTATTGTCCCCAATTTTAAATTAAATTTCGTCATGCTTGATTTACAATTCAATAACAAAAAAACCATGTTGGCTTAAGTTTACTTTTTATTTTCATCATTGGAAACATCTCAGTATGGGTTTATTTTTAGTCCTATGTTCTTATATCTGTTTCATTGATGAAACTAACAGTTCCCAAATAGTTATGAAATGTTTGAAACAAACATCATTGGGTTTTCTTCTCTTAGGAGCAATGAATTCTCAATATTTTGTTCTCTTTTTTTAATGAAACATTTGCACGAAAGGTATACATTGTACAAAGATAATTTATGTATTGGATGCTTTTCCCTTTTCATGGATTTTTTTTTCATATACGATGTGCAGGATCAGTCAGTGTACTAAAATACACTTGATTCAAAATGAAAAGATTAATTTGTGGATTGTCGGGGTGTTTTCTCATCTTATCATCCTACATTCAAATTACCGTACCTAGTGGCGTTTGTAACAAGTGAGTTATGCTTTATTTCTCCATTAATATTTATTAATTCAATGAGAAATACTTCAGCAAAAATATGTATTTTAAATCATTTGTAACAGCATTGTGTTGTCTTACAGAGAACCACTGATATGCTGCACGAATTACAGAAGAGTTAAAAATAATTGTGAAGGTAAAAAAGAGTTTTATCTTAATATATTGAAAATACAGTTTAAAAATGTTACTTAAATGTACATAAGGTAAAACAGATTCATATAATATATTTCATTATCAAAATAGAATAATTCTTCTACTGTTGGTGTAAATAAATATTTGCCAAAACATCTTGCATTTAAAAAATAATGTTTATATATTTCCCTTTATTTATTTTAAAGAATGCTGGCCTGGAACATTTGGTGTCAACTGTAATCGCACTTGTCCTAATGGATTTTATGGTCGATTTTGCTTAGAGAAATGTAACTGTTCATCGTGTCACAAAATATCAGGATGTAGACAGAATATAAACTCATCGGGTACGTCTATATATATACTTCAGAATAAGAAAACATTAAGATATTTCTATTCTTTCTACAACCCTTTTCTGTCTTAAAATGAGCTTACTAAGTCTGTCTTAGGTTGCAAAGAAAAACATAAGCGAAAAAAGTTTTCCGACTCATTATACAGATTTTACGAGTCTAATTTACAAAAAGTATATGCCCCAGTAAACATTTTTCAAATAGTTAAAAATCGTTGATAAGATGATTTTTATGTCTATTTAAGTTAATTAAATTACACATGCTAGATCTACAACAAAACAAAATATATTTGTATTATAGCTCGTAAAATAAATGTTCATTAACTATAGAATCATTTGGTATGTTCGAATTCAGAATAAAGATTAAATATTGATAAATCAATATTAGATAAGTAATCATATAACGTTATTTGCATAGTTAATGGTACAGATTTGCCAAAATCATCCCAATCAGAAGAACTTGCCGTTACCGAGGACGCTGACTGGCTTATTGTTGCTATGTTTGTTTCCGGAACTGTTGGTCTCTGTTTTGTAATTGGCTTCGTAGCCCACAACAAACTTAGGTAAAGGATAATTGACGTAACTTGCCATTAGACACAATTTGAATGTATACGTAGAATTAAAGCCACCTTTAACTCACTCTACTGAGTGACGTCATTGACTAGAAGGACAAGCAGTTTATCTGTGCTTAAGCCATAGATCAAGCTACAGTCGTTAAGCTAGTTCCGGGGTTCGATCAATTCCGAATAATTAGTAATTTAGTCAATTTTTCGCATTAAACAAGTGAACTTTTTAGGTATCACAATTACGTTTGATATGCATTTTAACAAATACCACAGTTTTGTCGACAATAAATTATTAGAACAGTGGAAGATATCGGAATTTTTTTTTTGTGTTGTCAATTTATTTGTTCCTAATACCCTTTATAAACACTGTTCGTCCTTTATTTTCTCTTCATTTTAAACGAAACTGTATTTTATTATTTCTCCGCCTGAAAAGCAGGGGGATGATATAGTCATGTTGATGTCCCTCCGTCTGTATAGGAGGCGAGTTATGATTAAAGTGAGCTCACACTATCTCTGAATTCTCTTTATCCTTTGAAAATACCACTCACCTACTGGAAACCAAGTATTTAACTTTTCCCAGGCATGTAAATGAATAATGTGGGCCTTTTTTTCATTGAAGTGTCGAATAGCATGGGGACCACTAAGGTATTCGGAACTCGTAGGCTTATTCATAACTGGTAGAATACTTCTTAAAAAATTACTTGAATAGCAACACTCTTATTAAACAGTATTTAATTCCTAAAGTATTGAACTACTTTGACAAATGCTTAGATTTTGAAATACTGCCGAACATATTTATGTCACCGCCGAATAGGTTTCTTATTTGGAACTGGTCAAACAACTGTAACATTGTTGATGAAAATCAAAAATTGAAAGAAAAATTGAACTAAATTGAAAGAAAATATGTGAAAGATGACAGATTTTAGAACGATTTATCAATATTTATAGCATAATTAACTGAATGTAACTGAAAGTAACAGAATGATGGTAAAAGTCATTTTATTTATTTAAAAAAAAATCTTTTAGAGGTGTATTTTTTCTTCCTTAAATTGTAAATTTTCATATTCACAAATAGCTATGAAAATGTATATTTCAAATAGATGCAAATATTTCTTAATTATTTTTTGTAGACGATCCAAAATCGTTGGGAAACAACAATTAAATCCAAGTGCAAGAACCACACCTTTTGCGGAAAACTAGTATACAGAAAACTTTACAATTTCTAAAGAACCCATTATCCTTCCAAATGCAATAATATGACAGAAGCACTTACATGTAGGTCTGATAAATATTTTCAAGACAAGGTTGTCTTTAAAGCCTGTAATATATCAGAAGACACCAATAATACATATAGCCATGTTTTGTCCTACAGTATATTAAATAACACAATGGATTCAGAAAATGAGTCCAACATTGTAATATATTCCAGATGTTAACAGAAAGTGACATCCACAGATAACAATACTTACAATGAATCAGTGATTAAATGTACAACTGAAGACGAGTTCTTTTTTCTAAATTTGTATTGGCAAAAGTAGATGAATATTAAGCGTCTAATGAAAGGAAAAGAACAATTCAGAAGGATGAGTTTAGTTTAGACGTTTCTCATACTGTTAAATCAACCATGCCAAACCCAGAAGCTTCTGTGACTTGAAAAGGTCAGATGTCATCAAAGGAAAAAGACTTGTAAAAAAAACATATGAATGAAATGTCCAAACTGCTGGAAAACTTGAAATCAAAATCTGAAAAACTGGAAAACAATCATTCAAAGGCAAAGATCCTCAAAAAAGACAACCAAGAAGCTTTTGAGATAAAGTTTCACCCCTTCTACAGAAATTTCATGAATAACTGTAAAAACAATATGAAAGGCATGTTGTCAACCAAATTATATACTTTAAACATCTAAAAAAAATTGTATGTATATCGACATTTCATTGACATGTCATTGTCCTTTTAAGCAGAGATAAAACTTCTATCTGGATGTTATTTTATCAAAAATGATTGATACAGGTACATTAATATGTTTCATAACATAATCGATGTATTTCATTTGAAGTTGACGGTTGGAAATTAAAGTCATGACGTTTAGTATAAAGTTTGTTTGTTTGTTTGTTTTTCAAGTAAACATCAAAATATAAAACAATTAATATAATGTAATTTCCACTCTTATGCTGAAACTAGATGAAACTTCTCTCAATCGTCCACTTCCATTATTGATGCAGCAATGTTACCTTGCACACCTGCATACACCACTTCACGGAAGGTTATTTGGCGTAATTTTTAAGGAGAGGCAGGACACATATCACATGACTAAATCGACTACGTCAAAGTCACTGTTAATATAGGTGCTATATTATATAGGTGTTTCTTTACGCCACAGTCTATTACGTCAGTGACGTCATATATGATCTCTCAGTGCAATGAAATCAAGACGTAATAACCTGGTAAGACCTTACATATAAACAGATCACAATCAATGTATGGTTATGTATTTTTTATTTGTATTTCTATCATTTTATTTGTGTATGATGAAAAAAAGCTTATGTTGCAAAAAATAAATATAAAAGCGAATAAATAGATTTCAACGAAAGCATCAATACTTCATAAAAAATATGTAACATTTGTTATTCCCCTCGTTTTCATCTTTTTGTTTCCCTTTCAATATTTACATGTATATAAATTTAGCGTGAACAATTGAAGAAAATAAATGAAAAACGATATGCGTTGGAATAGCTATATCATTCTTCTGTACATATTAATTTTGTTCATTCATGAGGGCATAACAACTTTCAATCATGGAAGTGGAGAGTGTAAAAACTCAGTAACGTAAGATGTTTTCCTAGATACATTTATGTAATTATTCAACAGTTTAAATGAGAATAGGGGGTAAAAAAAGAAATGAAAGCATTAATTTTTGAAGTTTTCTTGTTGCAATTAATTTCTGTAATTAAACAATTTCATGAATAAGAACGGTGTTTTTTTCCACTTTTACACACTGAAATGATCAGATACATATCGAAATTCTAGGTAAGTCTCTCTTAAAAAGCAACTTAATTAACGAAATGGCAAATTTAAAATCACACTCTTTCAGTTTTCTTTAAAAAAGAAATTATGTACTTTCTTAATGTCCTCTTTCCAATATATCAGAAAAATATTGGTGTTTGAAAACTTTCTTTTCCAATTGGTTTTCACAGGAATGAAATTGAATGTTGTGTTAATTACTATCAAGAAAGCGGAACATGTAAAGGTAATTGGAAAGTTAGAGAAATATTTAAACCTCGAAAACTACACATTTTCATTCTTATTTAATCTTAGCAAAGTATTTACCTTACATAAATGTGAAAAAAAGTAAATACAAATTGTAGTTGTTTTAAACTTAAGCTTGTCCAGATGGATGGTTTGGAGAGAATTGCTCGGAGCGGTGTCCAGAAAATCAATATGGATCACTATGTCTTGGAATATGTTACTGCAACCCTAATGAAACATGTGATCATGTACTAGGATGTAAGTGAATCACATGTTTTTAAACGAATGTTGATTTGTCAGTTTGAAATATTACTTTCATTGCTAGGATATTATTATTGAAAGTGTGTGATTTGTCTCAGGTCTTCAAAAAGGAGTGTGCACTGGACATGACGGGTAGGAACCATATTTCATTAATTTGCTTGTTTATCGGGAATTATTTGCAAATCAATCAAAATCATCAAAGCGAGATTTTATATTACAATATTTTATTACTTCATGATAGCTGCTTAGATTCTATAATTTCTAATCTCCTTTATTTCAGAGAGTTCAAATGCTGTATTAATTACTACCAGCATATCAAAAACAAATGCGAGGGTTTGCATTTCTTTTATTGCATGTGAAAAAACTCAAGATAAAAGAAAACGACGACACCGACTTTCAAAATTGTGGGTCTAAATAAAACAAAATAAAATCTTTTTATTACAGTTTGTTTTCCGGGTACCTATGGCTACAATTGCGAGGATAATTGTCCCAATGGAACGTACGGATATCTCTGTCGACAGAAATGCAAATGCAACTCAGATGTCATCTGTGACAAAAGATTCGGTTGTGTTGACCAAGGTATGTCTTATTTCAATTAAATTAATGAAAATAAAACGAAATATAACTCCACAATGAAGTTTAAATATATTTAAAATTGATATGCGGACGGTACGACCCTTCGGGCGAGCTAGATAGTTCAGTTTCATTTTAGATCTGGCTCGTCACATCGCACGTGACATTGTGTGAGTCTAGACTGACATTTACCAATCCGAAGTCTGAAATGTGCTGACTTTAAATGGAGAGCGTTTTATTTACTGTTTATCTGCAAATGTTCCGATTAAATCAAAGTTGTTTTAATTTGTTGAATTTTTATTGTTATTCTCGCGAAAAAGTAGCCCAAAGAAGCAATGCATTGTGGGTCCAGAAGTTGCTGACTTACTGAGGGAAAAAATCAATGTGTTAGTCTGAATCTTCTCTTTTTCCATTCGTTTTCGTCAGAGTTCGCGCTCGCTGCAGTCGCTTTTATAATTTTCAGGACTAAAAATGGATTGGAAAATTGAACTTCTATAAAGTTTTATCCGTTTCTTTTCTATTTTCTAATTTAAAAAAATTAGTTCAAACGGGACGATTTTGTGCCTATTTCATATCCTCTATTTAAAATTAGTACAGTTAAGAGCTTGTTTTCAAAAGAGTTGTTCATACTTCTGTAAACTTCTGAAACTTCAATAAAATTATTTTACTAATTGTTAATCATTTATTTTTACTTTGAATTGACGACGGATTTTTTCGTTATTTCCCGATCGTGACAATTTAGGAGAACATGGTGGATGTAGATCCTTTTTTTGATTTGGCTAAAGCAATAAATCTTGATTAGTGTAGTACAGTATAACAAACAATCGTTTATTGATTTTTCAATCTGTTTATCACTATACTAATTTATATACTATTAGTTAACATCCTATTAAATTGAAAAATGCTTATATATTACTTAAACATGCGAGGGCTAAAATTCATTAACTTTGATCAAAGTTCCCAATAACAATTGAAATATACCCTGGCTAAAGCTCAGTATTATTGGTACACTTTAGTTGACAGATACCGAGTACACCATATATTAAGGACAGTGTATAACGTAATAATTACAAGAAAACTTTGAAAATAAAAGAAACTAGTGCTAATTGTAACGGGAACCGTTACAGATGTTCCCCAAACGCTCCCCAACTCCCTTTTGATGCCATATTCCCTGTAAGCTTCATTAAATAAGACAAATTCTGGTAATTTAGACTTTAACAAAATTTACCCAGAAGGATACCAATTATATTTTAGCATTGCACATTTGCGCATGTGAATGCATGTGCGTTATGACCATATCATCTTGTCTACACTATCTATATATTTAAATATACTATATATCAAAGCATTCAGTCCAAAAGTATTAAAAATCACTCATTTAAGTGTATTTTTAATTTCACTCGTTCCAAATGCACGCACGTGCATGATGACCATACCTTCTTGTAGGAGTTCCTTATATTTATCTATGTTCTGAATCCCATCCTGTTTGGTTGAAAAACAAGAGAGTTATAGCCATTTCAAGTTTTAGCCAATCAGATTGCAGCACACGTGCATGCTCGTGATTTCATGAATTTTTTGTATATCATATTGCAGGATATCCTAATGTAAAACTATGTTTTAAATTTCAAAGCATTTCGTCAAAAAACAAAGGGGATGTAGCCATTTAAAGTTTCAGCCAATCAGAATGCAGCACACGTGCATGCGCGTGATTTCTTTAATTTTTCTGTATATTATATTGCAGGATATCCTAATGTAAAACT